TGGGAAAATTAGGAATGTCACCCCCCCCAAACCAGAGGCCTTCGCTACGTCCCTGCACTAACTGCAACTGACCATGTAGATCATCATACCGAAAGAAAGTCTCTTTGATAAACGAGACTAACGAGAGATTCCGCTCCATTTTTTGTAGCTTAACAAGTAACCATTATTGAAACTAAAAAACAAATAAGAATAATAAACATAAGTAATCCTACACTACTATAAACAAATCATTTCAGCGGTCATAAACAAAGCACTAAAGAAAGTCACACTTGGCTGTCAAAGTTGTCAACTAAAAGAATAACCACGGTATTACCGATGAATAATCATTCGAAGGGCCTTATTCTGTAAAAACGAACCGTTCGATTCGGTAGAATTTCTTCGATTGTGACGTCATTTTTGGTTTGGTTTTCGCGCTACCAAACCGAAAATGACGTCACAATCGAAGAAATTCTACCGGATCGAACGGTTCGTTCCTTACAGAATAAGGCCCCAGGGCCCGGATTCCGAACCCACGATTCGATAGTATCGTCTATCTATTTTATATGGACGATACTATCGAATCGTGGGTTCGGAATCCGAGCCCAGGGGCCTTATTCTGTAAGAAACAACCGTTCGATTCGGTAGAATTTCTTCGATTGTGACGTCATTTTTGGTTTGGTTTTCGCGCTACCAAACCGAAAATGACGTCACAATCGAAGAAATTCTACCGAATCGAACGGTTTGTTTTTTACAGAATAAGGCCCCAGGCTGAAAATCGTCTATGATGCAAATAGGTTTGTTCGGACTTAGTTCAGAATCAGTTCTGAATTTAACTGCGCTTGCGCATTTGTTCATATCGAACATAAATAAACAAATGCGCATGCGCAGTTCAAGTCAGAACTGATTCTGAACTAAGTCCGAACAAACCTATAATCAGTGATATCATAGTGACGTGACGTTTCTACCAAGGATCATGATTTAGAATTGAAGACAACCGAAAGACTATCAGGAATCTGATGATTTAAGACCAGAGATTTGAGATTCTGCTGACGCCAAAACTCAATTCTCTGTAAAATTTCTTTGGCTCAAGGTTCATGATTAAGGACTGAAGACAACTGGAAGACTATCAGGAATCTAAAGATTCTGATGATTCAAGACCAGAGACTTTGAGAACAAGAATGAAGATTTGGATTTTGCTGACGCCAAAACCAAGACTTTCTGATGAAAATTCAAGAGCCAGGAATAAAAAAGTAATGAAAATTCAGGAATAAAAATATAAAAGAAGACTTGGGGTTAGGATCCAGTAAATTTAAACTCTGCAATCGAGGAGGACTAGGAATAATTATAAAGAAAATTCAAGAGCCAGGAATAAAAAAAATAATGAAAATTCAGGAATAAAAAAAAGAAAAAATACTTATTTGATAATTTTTCCGCACCTTATTCCAAATTTTCTCTATTCCAGGCTGAAAGACTATCAGGAATTTAAAGATTTTGATGATTTGACCTGAAATTGTCTGAAGACTCTGAGGACAAGAATAAAGATTTGAGATTCTGCTGACGATATTGATTCGTAATCATTGAAGACACCAAAAATTCTAAAGCCAATAGTTTGAAGCGTCATTATGCAAGATTCAACTGAAGTAGGTATCCGATGCAAATAGAGCAGTATCCCTGATAATTTAAGTTTCTTTGTGAAAGAGTTAAAAAACCGTTTTTCAAAATTTTGGATGGGGTTATCCATCGGTTTCACATTAATGTTTTGATAGGTTACTATCGTTTGTATCAAATTTGTTTCAGAAAACCCAAATTGCAGTTCCAAGTAGCTAAACAAATCTGTGCTGTGACATTTAACGTTGATATCGGTATCGATACATGTCTCGAGTATCAGTATCTGAATACAAATCTCACTGTGCATTTGTCTGTTTCAGTATCGCTGTATCGGTATCAGATGGTATAGCAGTCTGTATCACTGTACTGAAACTTCGATACCGAACGCATGAAACTGATACTTGTTTCAACCTGTACCTATGTTGAAGCTTATATTATGTATCGCGCTACTAAAATATAAACACTGTTGTTTCCAACATGGAAAATCAGTAGGGAGTATGTATAGGCTTTCTGGCTCAAAACAGAGACGAGACAAAGAGACACTGAATATAGAACCATCCCCCTACCTCACACGATACTACACACAACCATCCCCCTACCGCGGCCTGTATAAACCTATCGCGTCCTGTATCCCCCTAGTTTAATTTTCAAGCAATCCCCCTTTTAAGTCAGGTGGAAACCAGCAAAATCCAGAACAAAGCCAGTGGAAACCAGTTAAATCATCATAACACCAGTGAAAACCAGCACGAAACCAGTGGAAACCAGTAAAAACCAACTTTAAATCAGTAAAATCCAGAACAAAACCAGTAAAATTCAGCACAAAACCAGCAAAATTCAGCACAATACACAGGGAGATGGTTGTGTGTAGTATCTTGAGAGGTAGGGGGATAGAGGGCACAGGGGATGGTTGTATCTTCAGTGGTAGGGAGTATGTAGGCTTTATGGCTCAAAACAGAACCGAGACAGAGACACTCCCTTTACCACTGAAGATACAACCATCCCCTGTGCCCTCTATCCCCCTACCTCTCAAGATACTACATACAACCATCTCCCTATGTTTTATGCTGAATTTTGCTAGTTTGTGCTAAATTTTGCTGGTTTTATGCTGAATTTTACTGGTTTTGTTCTAGATTTTACTGATTTTAAGTAGGTTTTTACTGGTTTCCATTGGTTTCGTGCTGGTTTTCACTGGTTTTATGCTGATTTAGCTGGTTTTCACTGGCTTTGTTCTGGATTTTATTGGTTTGGCTGGTTTCCACCTGACTTGGAAGGGGAATTGCTTGAAAACTAAACTAGGGGGATATGGAGCCCGATAAGTTTATACAGGCCGCGGTAGGGGGATGGTTGTGTGTAGTATCTTGTGAGATAGGGGGATAGAGGGCGCAGGGGATGGTTCTATCTTCAGTGGTAGGGGGCGTTGTCTCTTTGTCTCGTCTCTGTTTTGAGCCAGAAAGTCTACATACTCCCTACTAAGATCGTGAGTTTTGGGAGGAATTTTTGAATTTATATAAATTATTGATTGAACTGAACTTGCGACTGAACTGATGTTTCCTGAGCTCATCTTAAAGTGTAAAAACTTATTGAAAAATACGTGGGCAACTGGAAATTACCAATGGTTCTCATGTCGGTTGGAACAAGGCTTATGTATCGCGCTAATAAAATATAAAAAGGTTTGTTTCCAACATGGAAGATCGTGAGTTTTGGGAGGCGCTACCATTTTGTTTTCAAATGTTGATTGAACTGAACTAATGAAACGATGTTTCCTGAGCTCATCTCAACGTGTAGGAGCAGTTGAAACATGGATACAAATCTAGGGTTGCCAGATACTTGAGTTTTGAAAATAGGAGAGCCTGTATAAAATTATATGAGATTGGATAATAATATATGAGAATATTTCATGTACCTACTACAAAATACCCAAATCCGAAAAAGCTCCCATCTTGACAATTAGCTATGATTTTTACCAGATTTTGGAATGCATTGCTGGATACTTATTCGTTTAGGTAGTTAAATACCTACTCCTCCTGATCCGTCAGTCTCATTTCTTCTAACAAGTTGTGGACAACACCTTGGGATTTTGGAAAGATAATTGTTTTTACCAGAGCATTAGTTTCATCAGTCAAGTTTATGTTAATACTATGTACTTACTATGTGGTTTGAACCGCAACGGAAATCTGTTGCACACAAATTAGGGAAAATCAAGAAGAAATCCGAGACAAAATAAAACAATCAGGAGAAATCGAAGGAAATCATGAGAAACTCAAACAGTTAATCAGTCAATCTCTAGAACCTTTGGGCAATCATACAAAAGAAATCAGGGAAAATCATCTCTAAACTGAAGTATCCTGAATTATTTGATTGACTAATCATTTCCAATAAGCATTTTTTTGATTATTCTCGGCTCCTGATTTTAATCAAGTTCCAGGAATAATCGCTACTTGATCCTCAATCAATATCTCCAATGTTGCAACTCTTAGAATGTTGTGTTGCTACCATAAATTCTTCATTTTCTTCTCAATATTTTATGGTTTAAATGTTAATAGGAAGCCACAAAATTGCGTTGGACATGATATAATCGGCTGAACCTTTTTGAATTTTCGATTATTCCCGGTTCTCAAAACTTGAAACGAAACAAATGCCGGGAATAATCAAATATTGCACGTTGGATAGATCAATACGTAAATCAAATCATGTCCGATGTCCAGGGCCAGATTAACCATAAGGCGCAATTGGGCGAAAAGTCAAAGGAGGCGAAAATTTTTAAAAAACTCCCAAGAAAAATGAGAGCCTGGAAGGGGGCGAAATAATTTTAATTGCACAAGGGCCCCTGTTAGTAAAAAAGTAGTTACCTTATGATTTAGATTTTAGAAAACTTTGAAAGGTCATAACTTTTTTTCTATTATAGATAGAAAGCTGAAATTTTCAGCGATTCTTATTCCAGTGGAGGACTACAATTCCTGAAAATTTCAACACATTTGGACTTATAGTTCCTGAGATAAAATCGTGTTAACCAATTTGGGGTGGTTTATCAATTTATCTGAGTGCCTTTTTTCATAGATTTTGACTTCAAATTTGGGAATAATTTGGTGTATGGAGTCGGGGGATATCAAATGACCATTAGGACACAAAATTTAAAAAAAAAAAAAATTGAAATTTTATCGTTTAAGTAAGAAGGTACCTTATGATTTAGATTTTGGACAACTTTGAAAGGTCATAACTTTTTGTCTATTATAGATAAAAAGCTGAAACTTTCACTGAATTTTAACCCAATCGAGGGACTACATTCCCTGAAAATTTCAGCTCATTTGCCCTTATAGTTCCTGAGATAAAATCGTGTTAAGCAATTTGGGATGATTTATCAATTTTTCAATTTTTCTGAGTGCCTTATTTCATAGATTTCAATTGAAAAAGGACTTATTGTCAAATATTTTTCAAATAATTAATAGTTTATTCATAAAAAAAAAAAATCAACAACTAAATCAGCTAGTTTCAGCCAAAGCTAGCCTTTCAGCCCTCAACTGCCTTTTCAAAGTTTTATGTTCCAATTCCTCATAATGTTCCGCAAACATTATCTTCAACGCAGGATAAAGTAGCGGCACTAAAGGCAACTCATCAAGTCTCACTTGCATATTATCAAAAGCTATGGTAACATTATCGGCAAAATTGTCATTGAATCTTGGCAACTTTGCATACCTTTGACTAAAATGGGTCAAGATTACATGCTTAGCTTGCATATCTTTGCCTATTTGGATGGCTTGGGACGTTGTCGAGTGCAGCTTGATTATTGCTTCAGTTTCCAGTTCATCTTCCATAGTGGCTTCATGGATTAACAAATCTGAGTTGCGTCCTAATTCGACTAATTGTTCAGAAGGCATTGTGTCACCAGAATAAGTTACTTTGTAGCCATCTTTATGCACCAACGCTACACCAAAAGCATTTGGACAATGCTTAACTAAACAAGTGCTAATGTCTTTTAAATCCAAAGACTCTTGGATGCCATTTTTTGTTGATTTAGCTAATATAGTATTATTTAATACTATTTCACCATTAGCAACTAATACATATTCATCTTCAATAGATTCAAAATATTTATCATAGAAATTCAACCAAGTCATTATTTGTTTTGGGGCAAACAAATGCAAAGGGCTTCGGTCAATGTTTAATTTGTCCAAAGCTTTTTTTCTGGCCTGTAACACTCCTATAAGGCCGATATGGTGATCGGCGTGCAAATGGGAAATGTAAATGGCGTCAATGTTAGCTAGGATTCTGTCACCTTTGTCTGGTCCAAAGAATCTTAAAATTTGCCCGCAAGTACCTTCGCCACAATCCAGTAGAATGTTTTTTGTTTCGCTTGTTTGCAATAGAATACCGCTAGTGTTTCGGGTTTTGTTTGGGATACAGGATCCAGTACCTACAGAATTTTTAATAGATTTTTTTTTGGTTATTTTGAAGGCTTTTATTACCTAAAAATAATATTTTTGGAAAATCCCTTGAACTCAGGCTAGTTTTTGAACTAACCAATTGTTGCTGTAGAGTTTTAAGGGCCTCTGGAAACTCTTCCAAAGACATTGTCTCACCCGTATATTCTAGAGGGTCTAAATTTATGTGGCTTGTGCTGAAAATAATGAAATAAGAAAAAATAAATAATAAAAACAAATAATCCTCACCTGTCAAACCCTTTTCTAGGTCTTAAATGGTAGCTACTCAAACCCCCTACATGCCTGCTGGAAATTTTGAGCAGAGCTGCACAATCGGTTTTGATTTTATCCATCTCCTCTTTATCAAACTTTTGTTTTTTGCTCTGATGATTGTCAATGTCTTCATCCAGAAACGGGGTCCCTTTTTCATGTAACAATGGAAAAAAGTCACTCGATAACATGTTTAGTTTATGTTGTATTCTGTGCACCGCAATACTGCCCATGCAGGAGTTCAATTCATTTACTGGAATGTGTTCGGTGCTCAAAGGGAAATTGTCCATCCATTCTTTGTATCTGAAATGCAATAATTGTTAATATATATTCTAAGAGATAATAGGAGAAGTAATGGAAGACCTCAAAAGTTTCTGTTCAACTTATCCTGAAAAGTCTCAGCTAGTTTCTTGAAAATCACGGAGAGAGCGAGGTGTTAAAAGATTTCAAAAAATATGATGTTCACAAGATTTCTAGAAGAAACTAGATAAGGACAGCTATGGACAGTAACAATGTAAAAATATAGGATTCAAGAGTAGACAAAAACAGTCCAATTAGCATAAGAAAATTCACTCACTCAGGCAAAAGCATAATCTCCTTGGTTGTAAAATGGATAACTAAACAAGCAACATCTCCATCTGAAGTGGCATACTTTTGATGTTTTTTCAACTCTGGATTATTCACCAAAGATTCAAGATGTTCTGGCGAAGGACAATCCACAACTAAAAACAAATATATTTGAACAAAAAATCTACACCAAGATTATTACCCACCGATAAATATTGGGCCAGGATCGTCAGGTTCGCAAACCTCACTGGATTTCACCACTGTTCCATTAGCAAGAGTAACAGTTTCGCCATTTTTTAATTTGCCCAATAGAGGCCCAGGAGGTACGCCTTTTTGCACGCACTTATTCAAATTAAGAGTACCAGGGCGGGGCTGCAATTGACAAATATAGCAAATTGAAAGGTCCATTTCTTTGCACTCCTTTAGTATTGTTTGGGTTACTGATGGTGCAGTTTCCTGAATTGTTCTTGTGCCTGACTCTAAAATACAATATTTATTTATTTATTTTTAAATTTATTTTGGTTGAAATTTATGAGGAAATGGTACCAGTAGGATTTTGGGATTGGGTTCTACTTTTACTTCGTTTTTTCTTACGTTCGTGTGCGTAATAATCTGTATTATCTTCAAATATTTCAGATTCATTTCTATGTCTAGACGAAGATCTTTTCCTGCTACTTCTATTTTTACTTTTGGTCGATGTAGTTGCATCATTCTAGAAATTTTTTGAGTAAAATTTGAAATTTATTATAAGGGATAGACTTACATTTTCTGTTCCTACTTGAATTGCCTTATCAGTTTCTTCGGGCAATGTCCTGGTAAGCCACACATATTTAACAGTCATAACGTTATCCACAAAACAACTATTTTCTGAACAATCTGCCATTTTGATTTTTAAATCTCTTATAACGACAAATCTTCTTGTTGCAGGAAATAATTCATTCTAAAAATTTAACAATCAATATGTATGTATTACAAATTTTACAAATAACAATATTCCTATAACAGATCTCTGACCAATGCTTGATGAGGCCTAGAGATATAATAGTGGTGTAGTGCATTGCAACAGGAATTTAATAAACCTTAAATAATCTACTAAAAACTACTCAATTTAAAGTCTAGCACAAATTCCAAAACATACTAGTATGCAAAAGTAGTAAATTATAGGTATTTTTTCTCTATAATTTCTACCTGTGACCTATGATTTAGAGAGATTCCGTGCATTTCTCCATTTTCCCCTGACATTGTATGTACCTTTCCAGTTTTGCCAAAAGTAAGTCCGGATTAACACAGTCATATATGCGTTAGACAAGATTACCTTCCTACATTAAGCTGAATTTTTTTTTGTGAACTGGAAGATTGATTTTACTTTGTGTAAATGTAAATATATCCATGCTGATTTGTATTCAGGATATCACATTATGATAATGTGGGAAATTTATAGGGAATTTGGAGGAATTTATGGGGAATTTGGGAGAATTTGTGAGGAATTTATGAGGAATTTAAAGGAAATTGTAGGGTCATGACGTCACTGAGGTTCACATTCTTATTAGGTATAAGAAATAGTAATAAATGGAAATTTGAAAAAAAATCTAGTGAGCTTCTCACTTTCCTTCCTCTTTATATGCAAAAACTTTCAAAATTCTCCCTTCACTAGTTTTCCAAGAAAATTGTGTGACTGTATTTTCAACTAATTCAGTTTTTGTAGGTTGATTTCCAAGAACTTTCATGTTGCTGTTTTCCACTGGAAACATTTGAAATTTTGGGAAAATGAGCTTCTCACCTTCTTCTTTACATGCAAAAAGTTTCAAAATTTTCGCTTCAGTAGTTTTACAGGAAAACTTTGAAATATATGAGACTATATTTTCAATTAATTCAGTTATTGTAGGTTGATTTCCAAGATTTTTCTTGTTGTTATTTCACATTGGAAAAATTTGAAATTATGGGAAAGTGAGCTTTTCACCTTCCTCTTTACATGCAAAAAAAATTCAAAATTTTCCCTTCACTAGATTTCTAAGAAAACTTTGAAATATGTGAGACTGTATTTTGAACTAATTCAGTTATTATAGGTTGATTTCCAAGATTTTTCGTGTTGCTGTTTTCCACTGGAAAAATTTGAAATTTTGGGAAAATGATCTTCTCACCTTCCTCTTCACATGTAAAAAGTTTCAAATTTCTTCCTTCAATAGTTTTCCAGGAAAACTTTGAAATATGTGAGACTGTATTTTCAACTAATTCAGTTTTTGTAGGTTGATTTCCAAAATGTTTCATGTTGCTGTTTTCCACTGAAAAAATTTGAAATTTTGGGTTAATGAGTTTCTCACCTTCCTCTTTACATGTAAAAAATTTCAAAATGTTTTCTTCTTTAGTTTTCCACAAAAACTAATTCAGTTTTTGTAGGTTGATTGCCAATATTCCTTATGTTGTTATTTTCTACTGGAAAAATTTAAAATTTTGGGAAAATGAGCTTCTCACCTTCCTCTTTACATGTAAAAAGTTTCAAAATTTTCCCTTCGCTAGTTTTCCAGGAAAACTGAAATGTGTGAGATTGTATTTTCAACTAATTCAATTTTTTATAGGTTTATTTCCAACATTTTTCATGTTGCTGTTTTCCACTGGTAAAATTTGAAATTTTGGGTTAATGAGCTTCTCACCTGCCTCTTTACATGCAAAAAGTTTTAAAAAAATTTCTTCTCTAGTTTTCCAGAAAAACTTTGAAATATGTGAGACTGTATTTTCAACTTATTCAGTTTTTGTAGCTTGATTTCCAAGATTTTTCATGTTGCTGTTTTCCACTGGAAAAGTTTGAAATTTTGGGAAAATGAGCTTCTCACCTTCCTCTTTACATGCAAAAAGTTTCAAAATTTTCCTTTCAGTAGTTTTCCAAGAAAACTTTGAAATATGTGAGACTGTATTTTCAATTAATTCAGTTATTGTAAGGTTGATTTCCAAGATTTCTCATGTTGCTGTTTTCCATTGCAAAATTTTGGGAAAATGAGCTTTTCACCTTCCTTTTTTACATGCAAAAAGTTTCAAAATTTTCCCTTCACTAGATTTCTGAGAAAACTTTGAAATATGTGAGACTGTATTTTCAACTAATTCAGTTATTGTAGGTTGATTTCCAAGATTATTCATGTTGCTGTTTTCCACTGGAAAAATTTGAAATTTTAGGAAAATTATTTTCTCACCTTCCTCTTTGCATGCAAAAAGTTTCAAAATTTTCCCTTTTTTTAGAGGAATTTGTGGGGTATTTGGAGAAGTTTGTGGTGGGGTATTTGGGAGAATTTGTAATGGGCTATTTGGAGGAATTTGGAGGAATTTGCAAGAATTTTGAGGAATTATGCGTCAAAAATTCCCCTTTGAGGAATTGTTTGCACCAATTCTGGGATGGTGGTTAACGCCTTGATTCTGCTACTATGTTTATATTTAATTTTTCTGGACAGTTTACAACACTGTTATAATCTATTATTGGATAAAAAAGCACAAAAGGTTTCAGCAGCTTCACAACCTTCTCAAGGACATAGAGGCTCGCTCAGATTCTACTATTACAGGGGCTTCCTGGGAAAAAATGGGTTTTTTTTTGGAAGGGTAAGGGAAAATGCGAATAAGTACACAAATTGTGAAGGATTACATAAAATAAAAAGCCGCTATCTCTGAACAAGGTGCTCCAGAGCTTCCTTCGAAGGCAAATTCAAAATCATTTAAGATCGAAATCACTTATACTTACTATGATAGATAATTGAGTGCAAATTTTTGGCCAATAAATTGTAATTTCTAGATCATTTAAGTAGGGTTGGCAAATGACCGGTCAAATATCTTTCGTTCAATTGACTTAGTATTTGACCGGTCATTTGTCAAATTGCTCCGGTCAAATACTCCAGTAGTGGGTAGCGTGATGCCATGACGGTAACATTATTGACATCATTTATTCCTGGTCTAGCCTCGAGGTATAACATACCCAGGGCAAATACTCAAAGACAGACATAGAAAAGATTTCTAATTGTTTATTTTGAAATATTCACCTGAAATTCTGAAAGTTACATTTTCGAGGCCAGTTTATTCACCTTCTGATAAACTGTCAGGTATGCAATCTAGGTAAAAATACAATCTGTGAATCTGTAATTCCATTGGTCGGTAAGTTATCCGCTGACCAATAGAATTATAGAACGGTATATTTATGAAGCATCAGATAGTTAGCAGCAAGTTTATTTGAAAATGAATAAACCAAGCTTTAGTGGTTTTGCTTTTCTTTTCATTACCCATGCCAGACGAAGCCCAAGGACACGGGCAAATTAGCCAACAATAGAGCCATACCAGACTCTACAAGTAGTGAGGAGAAACTCTCTGTGCTACACCTTAATACCCAATCCATCCGAGACATCACAGATGAACTGGAAGCATTTATCGTGGATAAAGCCATTGGTATAATGTGTGTAACTGAGCATTTTTTGAAGGATGATGAAATAAACTCTCTGAGGATTGGCAACTTGGAAGTGGCAGCATCATTCTGCCGGAAAATGTATACAAGAGGAGGAACAGCAGTCTTACTTGAAAAGGGCAGTAGTTATAAAGAGTTGACAGATCTAAGGGAGCTGAGTGTGGAAAAATGTATTGAAGTTTGTGGAGTAAGATCATATAAATACAACATAGTAATACTATCAGTATATAGATCTCCTGGGGGAGATTTTGACATCTTTTTAAACAATCTTGATAAAGTTTTAAATAAATTGGATACACATAATAAGATAGTTCTTGCAGGTGATTTTAATGTGAAATTCTGTACAAATGAAAAAACATGTAGAGAGTTAAATGACATGCTGCAGTCGTATGGATTAGCCCAGACGGTTTTTGAACCTACCCGCGGTAACAACTGCCTGGATAATATTTTTATAAATTTTTCAGAAACTGAATACCTTGCTTGCATTGTAAAGCCAGGCAAATCAGATCACGATGGGCAACTTGTCTCATTAAATTGTCCTCAACAAAGTAATCAAAAATACTCAAAAAAGATTTGTCAGCCCATAACACAGGTAGGAAAAAACACATTCTATCAAAAAATTTCTGAAATTGATTTTAGATTTATAGACTTTCCTACTTCTGTAGAGGTAAAGTTTCAGAACCTTGTGCAGTTAATTGAGTTGGCATATAATGAGTCGTTCCCAAAAAAAACATATAAAGTAAAGGAAAATCAAACAAATAACATTGATTGGTTTAATAATGACCTAAAAAATATGAGAGAACACCTTCAGTACCTAAATGACATCTTTAAACTCCATCCAACAAATCAGCTTAAGGAATATATAAAAAATCTCCAACAAAGCTACAAAAAAGCTATAAAAAAGGCCAAAATTCAGTGCAATGAAACTAAAATAAAAAACTCTTCCAACCCAATTAGATGCATGTGGGAAATAATTAATGAATATCGTGGTAAAACAAAGCCTTCAAAAAATGACCAAACAACATTGACTGCACAAGATTTTAACAATTTTTTTGTAAGCATAGCTGTAGATCTACAGAACAAAATAGAAGAAGAAGATTTAGACCCCATTTTGAATTTACTTAAAATTAATGCAAATAATCAATCCTTTTCCTTTAAGGAACTCTCATTTAACGAAGTACGTGATGTGATTGACCAGCTTAAAAACAAGACAAGCAAGGATATTTTCAACCTTAATATAACCCTAATAAAATCAGTCAAAAATCTCCTAATAACACCTCTTACAAAATTAATAAATCATTGCATTAAAGAGAAAACCTTTCCAAATTGTCTAAAAACAGCGAAAGTAATTCCAATATTTAAAAAAGGAGATCCAAATGATCCAGGCAACTACAGACCGATCTCACTCCTGCCAGTTTTATCGAAGATTCTTGAAAAATGCATAGCTATACAAATATCGAGTTACCTAGAGCAAAATGACCTACTTAGTAATAGTCAGTTTGGCTTTAGGAGGGGCAAGAATACAACTTTAGCAATTTTAAAATTGGTAGAAGGTATAATGGAAGGTTTTGAGAGCTCTCAACACACAGTTACCACCTTCTGTGACCTGAGCAAGGCCTTTGACTGTGTCTCGCACGATATCCTGCTTAAAAAACTGCCTTTTTACAAATTTTCAAACGACAGTGTGGATCTAATAAAATCCTATCTGACTAAACGAACTCAGATTGTTAACTATAATGACATTAATTCGAGCGAACGAGAAATAAACATAGGCGTACCACAGGGCTCAATTGTGGGTCCTATTCTATTCCTAATCTATATTAATGATCTACCCAAAATAGCGGAGTTCGAAAAGTATGTAAAATTTGCGGACGATACCACAGGGCAAGTTCAGCATCCAGATCTACCAACAGCTGTCTGTATGTCGGGGGAGGCACAGTTGAGGGCTAGGCAATGGTTTGCTGCTAACAAACTCTTTTTGAATGAATCTAAAACCCAAAACTATACTTTTTCTCTAAAAAATATAGAACCCATGACCAACAGTGTAAAATTCTTAGGAGTGCATCTTGACCAAAAACTTCTTTGGGATGCACACACTGAAATAATTTCAAATAAGCTTTGCAAAAACACTTTTTTATTAAGAAATTTGGCAAGATGTGTCTCATCTAGAGTTACAAAACAAACATACTTTTCTTTGCTACACTCACATGTAGGTTATGCTTTGCTAATATGGGGTCATGCAAATGGAGCACAGAGGGTTTTCTCTGTGCAGAGAAGGGCTGTTAGAATAGTGGCTGGTTTGGGCTATCGAGATGACTGCAAGCAGGCTTTTATTGACAACAGAATTTTGACATTGCCCTGTGAGTATATCCTGCAAAATCTGGTTTATGTTAGGGACCATTATGATTCATTTATGTGTAATGGTGATTTTCACAGCCATGACACGAGAAACAAAAATAACTTAAGACCCATCTACCATCGTTTACAGAGATGTCAGGGTGGACCTGGATATCATGCTGTAAAACTTTTTAACAAACTACCAGAGCATGTAATACAACTAAATAATTCCGAATTTAAGAAAAAAATTAAAGATTTTCTCATAATTAAGGCGTTTTACAGCCTAGATGAATTTTATAATTCCACACTCAGCTGGACAGGCACAAACATTATTTAAAACAAACAAATAAATTATTTTTCATATTTATTATTATATCAATTATTGTTCTTTACAGTTGCACCAACCAAAAATTGTCTCTAGTCATTGCTATATGCTTTTTTTTTTTTTTTTTTTTTAATTTTATTTATTGATTCCAAACTTTTAAATGTCCTTGTCCTGATAATTGTTGTATTAGTGAGTGACAGTAAATTTGTAATTGTTGTTGGAATTTTTAAACATAACTTTTATATTTTTGTAAAGCAGATATTTAAAATCATGTGAAATAGATAGTTAGTCTAATTTTTTAATGAAATTGTAATTTTAGATTACTAAATTGTATTTGATTATTTTGACTTGTGTAAACACTGTACTGTGTATTTTTAAGCACCAATAAACGATTCTGATTCTGATTCATAAAAAAAGTGTTGATTTTGTCCAAAGGAAACAAGTTTTGTTTGTTTCATTTTCTAGAGAAAAAAATTGCTTAATTTTTTATACAATAAACTATTGCTTTTGCAGGTACTTTTTTTAAATTGGTCAAATTGATTTGGTCAAATATTCTAGCATCGGTCAAATTGACCGTCAATTGACCACTTTTGACTGGTCAATTGACCGAGGTGCCATTCCTACATTTAAGTTTAGTTTCAACAAAAACCTGAAATAAAGTTTCATTCATCCCAACCTCTCAACAAACAAAGGGAGCTTTAAGATTTTATAATCAGAATGTTAAAGGAATAAGAACAAAGCTTGATCAATTAATGTGTAATATGCTTGTTGAAGATTGTGATGTTATATCTACTGTTGACAGAAACTTTTCTAAATACTGATATATTTTAATAAGTGTCTCAGATCTACAAAAAATAATACATGTAAGACTCAGGGTGAAGTACTTACTGATAGCAGTCAAAAGCTGTTTATGATGACACCTATTGAAAGTGTTGAGCATTTTTTTGTGTCAGTTACCATTGAAAGCCAAAAAATTCTAGTGGGAAATGCTTATATCCCAGGAATATCATCAGTCAATATTTATGAAAGTTTTTGTTTGTCTCTAATCGATCTACTTGAGAGTCAGAATCTTACTGATATTTTTATATGGGGTAACTTTAATTTACCCAATATGGGAAATAACAGCAGATGGATCTATTTATACCTGTGGGCAAGTAATTACTGTGGGTGATTGTGAGTGCCTTTTTTCATAGATTTTGGCTTCAAATCTGGGAATAACGTGGTATATGGAGTTCGGGGGATATCAAATGACCATTAGGACACAAAATCTCAACAAAAAAAAATTGAAATTTCATCGTTTTAGTTAGAAGGTAGCTATGATTTAGATTTTGGAAAACTTTGAAAGGTTGTAACCTTATGATTAAGATTTTGGCAAACTTTGAAAGGTCGTAACTTTTTTTCTATTATAGATAGAAAGCTGAAACTTTCACTGAATTTTATCCCAATCAAGGGACTACAATCCCTGAAAATTTCAGCTCATTTGCATTTATAGTTCCTGAGATAAAATCGTGTTAAGCAATTTGGGGTGATTTATCAATTTTTCAATTTTTCTGAGTGCCTTTTTTCATATATTTCGGCTTTAAATCTGGGAATAACTTGGTGTGTGAAGTTCGGGGGATATCAAATGACCATTAGGACACAAAATCTGAACAACAAAAAATTTGAAATTTCATCGTTTTAGTAAGAAGGTTGATTGACCATTAGGATACAAAATCTCAACAAATTGGTGAACATTCAGGCTATAGGCAGGCTCATTCATGTGAAACAGCTTTGCAGTTTTTAACATCCTCTTGGAGATGATTGGTGTAAGTAGTTTTCCTAGATTTAAGCAAAGCCTGTACTAAAACTGTTAACATTGATTTACTTACTATTACAAAAAATGAAAAAATATGACATTACAGGTAAAGTATTGAATTGTTTTAAGAACTATTTGAACAAAAGAATAAATTCAAAAACTCAATATCAGTAAAAAAATAGAAACTTATCATGGTGTTCCTCAGGAATCAGTGCTGGGGCCCATTTTATTTCTCATTTTCATTATTGATATAATTAAACATGTTACTTAAGTATTGCAAAATCAAACCATTTGCAGATGATACAATACCTTATTAAATATCGCAAATTAATAAATTTCAAAACAATGAAAAAAATTTAAATGAAGCATAGCAATTTATGGTTCTATCCTCAAGGCATAACTTAATTCAACATAAGAAAAAAAGAACAAACCTCGGAACAAACTAAACATTGTTATTGATAATAGGATTTGGGATAACAGCTGGATTTTTTACTTATTCTTTTTTAGATAGTTTGGCTGCTTTACCCGCTATCTAAAGAAGAAAACGTTATTTATAATGCTCAAATTGAAGAGGTTAAATTTTTTAAATATCTAGGGGTAATGATAGACCCTGAGCTCAACCTTCCTCTGCACTGCGAGCACATAGAAAAGAAAATCTCACATGAAGCATGTAATAAAGTTTCATCATTCACTAAACTAACAATTTACAAATCAATGATTGCACCACATTTCGATTATTGTGAAACATTTTTTCATTTTTTAAATCAGAAAAATATGTTACAGAAACTGTGCAACCATTGTAGAGGGCAATGTTATTATGCAATAAGTGAACTCCTATTAGAAGTATGCTTGACAGGTTGAACCCTATGGATGCTCAACAACCAGCTTCATAAAATATGTTAGTCTTTATTTGCAAACTAAAAAATAATATGTTGTGCTGACATATTTTACTGATGAGGGGGTTTATGTTAGAGATGTTCATAGTCATAATACTGGATCAAGCAAGATCAGTAAATGACTTCTATATTGCTGATTTTCATAGTGAAACTATGTTCAGTGTAGGTTTAAGATTGTTTAATAACATCCCTAGGGACATGGAAAGAATGTAATAATTCATTAAGAACTTTTAAAACATTATGTGAAAACTTTATAAAGCTCTTTGGATGTAAATACTTATTTACCTACCTATTTGTATTTGTAATGACATTGTTGAGAGCAATTTATTTGCTAATTAATAAAGTGTGATAATAATAATAATTAACTTACAAGTTCTACAGGTCCATGTAAAATTATTTGAGGTACCCCAACATCCTGGATAGTTAAAGCAGTACCTGGTAGGCCTCCAATATTCCTCCATACCGGGTGCGTTATAAAGATATGCTCCAATTTAGCCAATTTGGTTTTGTGTTCATGGGCCAATCTTTGTGTGCCTTCGCCGCAGTTAAATAAATACCTGAAATATCAACAATAAAGTTTCTATTGTAGATTTTTATTGTTTTTATTACCGGCTTTGGTCTGAAAACAAGTACACTGATCTGGGGGCCCCTTTAGCTCCCGTACCCAATATTTGCACTGTAACTTTTCCGGGGGCGAACTTGGAGTTTTTCTGCTTAATTCTTAGCCTCTGCTTTTGGGCCTCCGCTATATGTTTGGGCTCTTTGGGCATTGTTTTCAACAGTTTGAGGAGGTTAGAATTGGTTTTTTCGGTTTTCGAGTAAAATCTGGTAAATGGGGTTACAATGAATCTGAAATTGGAGACGTTAGGCAAAAGGGACATTTATAGGTTCGAGAGGGTATTTGTTACTTGTGAAAATGATTTGAAATGAAATGAAAATTAAATTTATCTATTTATTTGAAAAAAGGTGGATTTATGTTGACATTTGACGTCAGACGTATATATATGACATTTTTAAATGTGGCAACAATGCGCATCGATATGAGGCGATTTCGGCAAGCTTTTGTGTTTATAGATTGGGAGATCTGTGAATTTTTATTTAAATTTGTTATCTATTTTTCTTAATAAAAATTTATTTATTACTGTTTGTTTACCCACAAACAAAACACACAGATTAATAAAATACTATACTTTTTATTTACAAACTGGCAACCGTGTTGCCGAGAAGCAGCTGATTTTGAGCGATTCCTCAACATAACCTCAAATTTTTCACATGGTTCTTTTACAAGTAAACAGTTTGCCAGGGTTTATTTAAAAATTAAATAAAATAAAGATGGTTAAAGCTGCTAAAGCCCCTCTTGTGCTAAAGAGAAAAGCTAAAGTCCTAAAAAAGAAATTACCTAAATCCAAACTAAAGCAAAAAAAGGTAAAACCAGTAGTTCCAAAACCCGATAACAGTGATAGCGAAATCGAAGAACTCTTGGACAAAAATAAAGATTCGGACGAAGAAAATAGCCTGTTCGAAAAACGAGACGATGCCTCGAGTTCGGAAGAAGAATTAGACGAAGAAGCTCTAGAACAAAAGCACAAGCGTGACTTGGAAAAGTTGAAAAAAACCGATCCAGAGTTTTACAAGTTTTTACAAGAAAACGACAAAAAACTCCTACATTTTTCAGTATCAGATGAGGAAGCTGAACAATCAGAAGCAGAAGAAACTGACGAAGAAGACAAGGTACACAAACCCGCTGACAATTTGGAAGTAGCAAGTGATGAAAGTGATTTCGAAGACGAAGAAACCCCCCAAGACAACCGAGTGATTACATTAAAACTAATCAAAAAATGGCAAAACGATATTCAAACAGACAAAAGCAACAAAACAATTACAGAACTGGCTCAAGCTTTCCATGCGGCACTTCAAAGAATATCCAGCGATGAAGAAAAAGACGAGGCGCCTGGACATTTTAAAGTGGAAGGCTCGGCAGTTTTCAATGCTGTTATTCAATTATGTGTGATGCACTTGGGACCAGCTATAAGGAAGTTTTTGGGATTGAAACCTGGCTCGAAACTACCTCCGCATAAATGTAAAAAATTCAATAAAATCAAGAACACATTGAAGAGTTATTTTAATGATATACTCAAGGTAAGTTAATCTTGAATTATTATCTATGAAGTGAGCACATTGTTGCTAGTAACAAAAATTTAACAGTCGACCATTGTTGTTGATTGTTTTAAAATACAAAATGTATTTATTTATTTCTCAATTTATTTATTCACCAATATTTCACAATGGACACAAATATACTACCACTTAATGTGGATACAAATAAATAAAAGAAGCCTTTACAGCAATAATTCTTGCTGTAGTAAATTCTCCCTATCCTCCTACCCCTGCTAGATAAGATACAGTGCACTATAGTACAGTACAACCTCGATAATCCGAACTAATTATTGCTAAGGTCGGTTCGGATTTCCGATTTGTTCGGATTATAAAAATACTTATTTGGTAAATTTAACTTAAATATGCAATTAATATGTTATGCAAATAATCAAAAATAAGCTTTTTTTTTAAAAAAAAATTATTAAATAAATGAATATACATAATTAAAATTATATGGGGTATTTTTTTTTTTTTTTAGTGCATACTGGCTGTTTCTCCCATTTCCGCCTTCTTTTTAATTTCTTTTAGGGCCGGTCTATTCACCTTTTGATAAATTGTCAGGTATGCATTATGACGGATGAAATCGCAAAATGTAATCCCATTGGTCGGCCAGTTATTCGCCGACCAATAAAATTATAGAACGACGAATTTATCTTACAGATAGTTAATTCAAATTCAAATTCAAAAACAGCTTTATTGTCATAAAAAAAAAGACTAAAACATCTCATTGACAAAGCAGAACTAGAAACTAAAAAAATGCTTTTAAATTTTCTTTCATCTTCTATTTTTCTTATACTTTTTGGTAGATGATTAAATATTTTCCTACCATTATAAATTATGGACTTTTTAGTTAAGGTGGAAGTAGGTATCGGAAGTGATGTGGTGTGGGTATTTCTCACAGTATAAGCTGAAGTGGCCTGAATTTCCCTTTTAAACTTCCTATGAATCAAACAGGCTGTTTCATGGATAAACACGCTGGTCAAAGTTAGGATTTTATGGCTAATAAAAAAGGGCCTACAAGAATCTCTTCTTTTTAACTTTAGCATAAAACGCAGTGCTCTTTTTTGTAGTAAAAAAATTGTATTAAATAAATATCCAGAACAAGCTCCCCAAAAGCATATACCATACCGCAATTGTGAGTCTATCAGAGCGAAATATGCTTCCCTTGCTGCCGATAAGTTAACCTCCGACGCTATGACCCTCAGGGCATAACAACCCCCAGAAAGCTTCCTCGACAGTTGCAAAATGTGTTCATTGAACTTCAGCTGCTCATCAACCAAGAGACCCAAAAATTTATTCTGTGTGACATTGCCTATGGATTCCCTATTCAACAGCACCCCCTCTAAGTGACACTTAAAGCATAAAACGTTTGTCTTGGAGACATTCAGAGTCAGGAAATTTGAATCGCACCAATCTTTTATTTTACTCAGATCCCCACTTACATAATTTGCCAATTCATTCGGCTCTTGAGTGCTACAAGATCGTAGCATCATCAGCAAACATGGTAAAGGAACCAGATATTTCCAAAGTTGCCAAATCGTTTATATATATTAGGAATAACAAAGGCCCGAGGACGGATCCCTGTGGTACTCCAGAAGTTATGGCTAAACTTGATGAAGTTCTATTATCGAAAATGACAAACTGATGACGATCTGACAAATACGACCCAATCCAATCCAAGACAACTCCCCTAAAACCAAAAACTTCGAGCTTGCCAAGCAGTACTCCATGGTCAACACAATCGAAAGCTTTGGTTACATCGCAGAATACCGCTGCAGCAATCTCTCCATAATTGAGTTGAATGTATAGTTCCTGCATCAGAGAAAAGATGGCATCATTTGTGGATTTTTTAGCCTGAAAACCAAATTGTGACTGATTTATGATGTTATGGGCTTCTAAAAAACTTATCATTTGCTTTTTCACAATTCTTTCCACAATTTTCGAGAGTGTTGGGAGCAAAGAAATAGGCCTAAAATTAACTGGAGCATTTGGGTCACCTCCCTTAAAAAGAGGAATCACTCTGACGATCTTGAGACACGAGGGAAACCTCCCGGCAACAAACGACATATTTATGGCTTCCGCCAAAGCCTCCAAAGAGATCTCTGGGAGTGCAAGAAAGACCTTCAAGGGCACACCATCCCATCCCGAAGAGTTTTTCTTTTTCATATTCCTGAGCACCTGTCTTATTTCTTCAGCATTTGTTGGATGAAAATAAAAAGAGTTGCTCACCTCACTGCTCTGCACATAATCCAAAGCACTCCTCTTAGGACTAATATTACGTGCCAGATCACCTGCCACAGACACATAAAATGAGTTGAACTGATCTGAAGTGACATTCGACTCTATAGGCTTTCTGTTCTTCCCCCTGAGATCGTTAACAATGCTCCAAGTTTCCTTCTGCTTGCTCCGTGATTGTCCCAAGCGATTTAAGTAGTACAGTTGTTTAGCCGTTTTTATGACACGTTTATAGATCTTTCTATATCTATTGTAGTAATTAATGAAAACTATACTATCCAATAAATATTTACGCATTGCATGCAAGGAAAGCATATTTCGCGCCGATACCTTCACACCCCTAGTAATCCACGGTTTTCTTTTACTTTTTTTAAATGTTCTTATAGGAAAGGAGATATTAAATTTGAGTCTCAATACATCATGAAAATATGCAAGGGGGTCTTCAGAGCAAACCACACTCTGCCAATCAACTCCCTGGCAATGCCGCGAAAATACATTAAAATTATGCTTAGTATACATTCTTCCCCGACGCGTTGATGCCCTGGCGCGACCACATGTTATATTAAACTCACATAAAACAGCCTCATGATCCGAGAGGCCAGCACTAATCACCCCACAACTCACAAATAGACTGTCAGATAAGTTGGAACAGACATAGTCAATGAGAGTCGATCCCTTTCCGGTTACACGAGTTGGTTTATTTACATGCATACACAAGTTAAATGAACTAAGTAGATTTGATATCATGACAGTGCTACTATGTGAGATGTTAGAATAATCAATATTTAGATCGCCAGCCAAAATTATATTCGCTTTACACAGGAGCGCAGACAATAAAATTTCAAGTTTAGATATGAACAAGCTTACATCAGAGTTTGGCGCTCTGTACAAACAGATCAGAAATAGATTCAGTGTGGGTAAACGTACCAAGGAAAACTCAAATTCTTTTTCGACCAACATATCATTAAATCCATCCACACCTACAATAGAGTACAACTCCAAAAACCGGGTGTGAGCCAACACCATAGTACCACCGTGAATAAATCTCTGCCTAGAAAATTTAGATTATAGTTAGGTAAAATTACATCCTCATCAACATTAAGCCAGTGCTCAGTCAGAAGCAGAATCTGAGGATTTCCGAGTTCCTCGAGAAAAATAGACAGTTCGTCTTTTTTATTTCTTATTGACTGAATATTTAAAAGCATCACAGTCGCCGATAGGTCGCTTGTTCTAAAAAATTCCCCTCTGACTGATCATGGTCAACCGGAATGTTCCTTTTTGAATGCGGAACAATGTGCTTGCTTGTGAAAAGGAAAAGCATCTGTGAACACAAAAACTTACACAAAAGAAATTTACTATTGTAAGATGATTCCCCATATCTACCTCTTTCCTCATCCCAAATAAAGCTGTCAAAAGAGAAAAACACCGAATTATTTGGATTATCGTTTACTTTTTGTGGTATTGCCGAGTATTCTGATCTAGCTTTGAGAACATTATTACGTATTAAATTTGACGTAGCACGCGTAGCGTAATGCGGTTTCCAGCAGTTGTTCGGATTATCAAGATTTGTTCGGATTATGCCTTTGAGGGTTTGGTGTTCGGATTAGCGGAGATTCGGATTAACGCATGTTCGGATTATCAAGGTTATACTGTACTTGGAATACTGTGTGTGCACCTGGTTTTCTTGATTGATGCAATTCAGGGAATCCCAAGTGATCATTAGGACACAAAATCTCAACAAAAAAAAAAATTGAAATTTCATCGTTTTAGTAGGAAGGTAGCTACCTTATGATTTAGATTTTAGAAAACTTTAGAAGGGCATAACTTGTTTTCTATTATAGATAGATTGCTGAAACTTTTACGTATTTGGACTTATAGTTGCTGAGATAAAATCGTGTTAAGCAATTTGGGGTGATTTATCCATTTTTCAATTTTTCTGAGTGCCTTTTTTCATAGATTTTGATTTCAAATCTGGGAATAATATAGTATATGAAGTTCGGAGGATATCAAAATGACCATTAGGATACAAAATCTCAACAAAAAAAAAATTGAAATTTCATCGGTTTAGTAAGAAGGTAGCTACCTTATGATTTAGATTTTGGAAAACTTTGAATGGTCATAACTTTTTTCCTATTACAGATAGAAAGCTGAAATTTTCAGCGATTCTTATTCCAGTAGAGGACTTCAATCCCTGAAATTCAACTCATTTGGACTTATAGTTCCTGAGATAAAATCGTGTTAAGCAATTTGGGGTGATTTATCAATTTTTCAATTTTTCTGAGTGCCTTTTTTCATAGATTTCGGCTTCAAATCTGGGAATAATTTAGTATATGAAGTTCGGGGGATATCAAATGACCATAAGGACACAAAATCTCAACAAAAAAAAAAATTGAAATTTCATCCTTTTAGTAAGAAGGTAGCAGCTACCTTATGATTTAGACTAACCATTTAAAAGAAGATACATTATAATTTTACATTTTAAAATAATCATCACCAATACTGGTCGACTGTAAAATTTTTGTTGCTGGCAATCTCAAAAAGAATCCTATAAAAATTAATTATTGAAATTTTTTTCAGCTTCTAGTTGGCGTAACATCTTCCAATATCCAAACAGTACTGCTGAAGCACCTGCACTACATGTCTCCAATGCTCAGTTCATACACAAACATAACAAAATCGATATTAAATAAATTGATACGGCTTTGGGGTACAGCCGAAGACTCCGTCAGAGTTTTAGCATTCTTTTGCATCTTGAGAATAGTCAGGGATCAAATGCAAGGCACTCTTAGCACTTGTTTAAAATCCATGTACATGACTTATGTGAAAAATTCTAAATTTGTCAGCATAAGTTCTTTGGCTTGCATTAATTTTATGAAAAGGTCTTTGGTGGAAATGTTTGCTTTAGATTTAAACGTGGCTTATTCTCATGTGTTTTTATACATAAGACAGCTGGCTATACATTTGAGAAATGCCATAACAGTGAATAAGACGGAAAATATTCAAGCTGTGTATAATTGGCAGTTTGTTAATTCTTTGAGATTGTGGGGGCTTTTATTGGCTGTAACACATACTAAACCTCAAATGCAACAATTGATTTATCCGTTTGTTCAAGTTTGCTTGGGTACCTTGAAGCTGGTACCTACTGCCCAATATTATCCATTACGGTTTCATATTGTACAAATTTTGATTGATTTTACTAAAGAAACAGGAGTTTTTATACCTGTTTTACCATTTTTGTTAGAGGTGCTCAATTCACATGATTTCAACAAAAAACACCAAAAAGTCTCAATGAAGCCAATACATTTCACTTGCATTTTAAGACTTTCAAAATCTCAAATGATTGAAAATGGTTTTAAGGATGCTGTAATTGATTCAATTTATTCGCAATTGTTGGAATACCTTTCAATTATGTCGCACACTATAAGTTTTCCTGATTTGAGTTTAGTTTGTATAATGCAGCTGAAGCAATTCCTCAAAAAATGCAAAATGGCTAATCTAACCAGAAAGCTTAAGCAGGCTTTGGACAAAATAGAGCAAAACGCTCAATTTATTGAAACCGAACGTTCCAAACTCACTTTAAAACTGACAGACTTGAAACAAATCGAGGGCTGGGAAGCGCAAATAAAAACCAAAGGAACACCTTTGATAACCTATTACGAATCTTGGAGCAAAGTCAGAAACATGAAGAAAAACAAGGAAATTACAAAGAATGATGTTTTGGGCGATTATAGGTTACCAAAATTGAAAAAACACGAGAAAAAGGTTGCTGATGAAGGGCCAGTGGAGCTTTTCCCTAGCGATTCTGAAGACGATGAAACCGGGTTGGACAAGAAACGCACAAGGGGCAAAAGGGCTGGTAAAAATGTTAAGAAAAGGCGTCAAGCTGTTGAAGAAGAAGGCGAAGAAATGGATGTTGATGGTGAGGATGTTGTTGAAGATATAGCAGCAGACGATTGGTAGAGTTTAATAAAATAATGTTTTACTTTATTGTTGATTTTTATTTGACTTATGATATTTCATATAGAGATACCAAAAAGTTGTTTGTGTAACATTTTAGTAGCCCATCCCTAATTTACGAAACAACTTTCTCCAAAATTTCTACAACAAAACGAGTCGTACGTAATAAAGTACATATTGCATTAACAATATGCAATTAATGTCGCTATTGAAAAAACATACCACAGGTGGGTGTGGGGAGAATGCAAGAAATTAAAATAATAATTGTCTTGCATTTAACGTAGACAATTGTTATATAGGTAAGTTTCTTTGTTTCAAACGCAATAATTTTTATTTCGTAATCAAAATTTAATGTCTTTTTGATTGAAGGGGCAAACAACTGAAAAAATATGTAAATATTCACATAAAATTCTGGGTTTTATAGCTTAATGAATATTCAAAAAAATATATAAATACCTGATTGTTTAGGATGGGAACTATAAAGATTTTTAGGTAGATGTTTCACATTACTCGATTCTTTGTCGGTGACTGTCTCCTTAAAAAAAAAATAATATTTCTTCATCTTTAAACTGTAAAAACAAATATTATACAACAGTGAAAGTTAATATTTCTCCAAATTTGCTGTGGCTATCACATTGTTACAGTGGTTGGCCAACTTCCGTACCGTTCATATACAAAAATACATATTTTTCAATATAGGCAATTAATTAAATAATGTGGTAAACAATGACAAGAGAAGGAGTAGCAGTACAGTGAATTCAGTTTTTCCAATTGACCACTTGATTTGGTGAAGATATTTAAGTGGATGTGAATATAAGGTAAGATATTATTGTAATACAAACTTTATAGAGAGTTTTTCAAGTGATTTTCTATATAATTTATCACTTTCTCAAGTAGGATGCAGGATGCGTAATCACCGCAATGTCAAGAGTAGGTACCTACTAGAAGTTTTGTGTATGTAATATGATTTCTAGCCATTATTAAAATATAGAATAGATAGAAATTGGTCTTCATTGGGAATGAAATAAAAATAATTCCATAATAGTTTTTATCCTTTTACATTTCATATTACATATTAATATGTATTTATATAAAAAGAAATGGGAAGGAATTTCTATCAATTTTCTTTTATTCCTTTCCATTTACCATTATAAGGCTTATCGTCGCATTTCTAAACATCTGAATAAAATCTTTAGTATCATCTTTCCCTATCAGACTATACAAATTCAAACTTTGAAAAACCATAACTTCGCAGTTGTACCTAATTAGATAGAAAGCTGAAATTTTTAGCGCTTCTTATCCTAGTGAAAAACTACAGACCCTTAAAATTTTAGCTTATTTGGATTTATAGTTCCTAAGAAAAAATCGTGTTGAGGAATTTCAGGTGAATTTTAGGATTTTTGAATTTTTCTGAGGTCCTTTTTTCATATATTTTGGTTCCAAATCCCACAATAAATCACTGTATGGAGTTTCTGGGGTCCCAATTGATCGTCTAAAGTCGAAATCTCCACACAAAAAAATTTGAAATTTGACCATTTTGGAAGGAATTTCTAGATTGTACAGGAATGTTCCATGCATTTTCTTGGATTATGGCAGAAGTTATCCTTCATGATTTTTCCAGGGAAATATCTGTTTTGGGCTGTTCATAGCAGTTCTAATTTACTTAGTTTCTTCCAGCCATTTTCTTGACGTTATTCAAGTTATATCTTCTTGAAGGGCTTCCAATAATTGAGAAAAAAATGGTAAATAAAATGGATAGTTATGTTTCTTTCTGTTCCAGGGTCTTGAATTTTCTTGATTTTGACCAGTTCAAGAGCCGGGAATAAAACAAAAATTGAGAAACAACGAGAAAAAATTTAAGACAAATATAGAACTATTGAAACGGGCTCCTGAAAAATACTTTAAGCCATCACAGCAACTTGAAACTTCCAGGATTTATCATAATTAGAGGTTTTCCATAATACAAAACAAGTTGGAAGTTGATTTGAAATTCACAACCAAAGTTACGAATTATTTTACTCATTAAAATACATGAGAAAATCTTAAAATTCCTGCAAATTCATCTTTAGAGGTTCCTGAAAAGTACTTTGAGCCAAAACAAGTTAGAAATTGATATGAAATCCACAACCAAAATTATAGTCCAGGAGGCAGTGAAATTTTTTAACACTTATTTTCCCAGGAACACAACGGTCCCTGTTTGGGAATCGATCCACTGAGCAGTGGACCCAGACTTCCCGTGCCAATCCAAAAATCTTTCTAACAATTTTCATTGCCAACGAAAGCTCAGACCAATCAGTGTAGTTCAACGCCGGTAGGGGTATTTGCCCTCGGAGTAGTTGTTTCTGACTGGTCAACGAAGTTCAATTTTGCTTGGACAGGGAGCTTCAGCCTATGTCCTTCTGATGAGTCCTAACAAGGACGAAACGCGTCAAGGATTGGCACGGGAAGTCTGGGTCCACTGCTCAGTGGGTCGATTCCCAAACAGGGACCGTTGCGTTCCTGTATTCACGTTGGTCATTACCTGAAAAAAATCTTTCTAACAATTTTCATTGCCAACGAAAGCTCAGACCAATCAGTGTAGTTCAACGCCGGGTAGGGGTATTTGCCCTCGGAGTAGTTGTTTCTGACTGGTCAACGAAGTTCACTTATTTTCCCAGTTGGTGTCTATTAAATAATTTTTTCTCCTGCTGATACAAAGCAAGAATTTTTGAGTCTGGCTGAAATTTTCGGATGGGTTCACCAAGATCAATGAAAAATACAAGTAGGCTTATTTTCTCAGACATAACTATTTCATATTTACTACAATAGAACATAAAGTAGGTATATGAAAATAGCAATTTGGTTTATCTCAAATAGTGAAAGTGAGTCTGGCTGAAAATTTTCGGATTTTCAATTTTTCACTTGCCAGACATATTATCCATACTCACAGATTAGCCGGACTATTTTTTTACGTAACTTCAGTATACTTCTCATTAGTAGACCTATTTTTATCACTGAGAAAAAAAAGGGCCGTGCATTGGTAAGCTTTAACTCATTTTGCGCCTCAACCCATCGGAAAACCCCCCCTAAAAATATATGTATTTTGCTTAGAACATACTAACCCTACAATTCTATCCATGTTTTCTGACTAGGAAAATAAGTACCGAAAATCGTCACTGCCTCCTAGACTATTACGGATTGTTGACTCATTGATACTTGGAAAAATCATAAAATTCTTGTAAAATCACTTCCTGAAAAATACTTTCAGCCATCGCAGCAACTTGAAATTTTCATAGGATTTATCATTTAGATTTTTTTCATGATACAAAACAAATTGGAAGTTGATATGAAATTTACAAGCAAAGTTACGGATTAGGTATTTATCTCTAATTGATACCTGAGAAAATCATGAAATTCTCGTAAAATCACTTTCCGAAAAATACTTTCAGTCAACACAATAACTTCAAACTTCCAGGATTCAATGATTAGAGTTTTTTCATGCTTCAAAACAAGTTGGAAGTTGATATGAAACACACAACCAAACTTATGGATTGTTTTACTTATTAATAGGTGTATATAGGTACCATCGTCACCAAAAGTAACTGGGACAGCATCACATTAGCTCTTGTCCTATTATATGAATTTTATTGTCAAATATTTTTCAAACTATGAATTAAATGCATTGAAATGAATGACAGTAGAATTAGTCCAGGAGATTATTATGCATTATTTGTGTCCCAGATACTTTTGGTGACGATGGTACCTGAAAAAATCATAAAATTCCTGTAATCTTTAAAGGTTCCTGAAAAATATTTTCAGCTATCGCAGCAATTTGAAACTTTCAGGATTTATCAATAAGAGTTTTTGAAGGGGTAAACCACCCCCCAAATTTGTACAAACAATTCCTCATACGGGAATTGTTTATGAAAAATTTCTCATATTTCCCCCAATTTCTGCAAATTCCCCACAAATTCCCCAAATTCCTAGCAAATTCCACCAAAGTCCTTGCAAATTCCTCCAAATTTTCACAAGTTCCCCCAAACGCCTCGCAAAATTCCCCACAAATGTGTCCCAAATTCCCTGCAAATGCCCCATACAAATTCCCTATAATCCCCATAATTGCTTGTGATGTTTGATAAGAAATTTACATGGAAATGTATTTATTTATTTTCATTTCGCTCAGTGAAACACACAACACAGGAGCGCCAGGAGCGGTCAAGTAGGAATAGTATAGTACCTTTGAGTAGGTAATCCTCAGACTTATCTAACTTTAATTTTTTTTTTTATCCAAGCGTGCGGTAATCACCTGGTCAGTTTCCTCTACTTCATTGACATCAGAATCAACAAATTTTTCCTCGAATTCTTCTTCACTTGTACCTTGGGTAATTTTTCCGACCTCGGAACAATCATCGTCACTTAACGTTTCTGGTTGTTGCAGTTTTTTTTTTACACTTTTATTCTTTCCTACTGCCTCAAATTCTATCTTGAATTGATAACATTTTGGTGTTTTTTTGGCTTTTATCGTGTAGGTACGTGGAAATCTCCTACTGCTTTCTCTTCCATTCCCTTCTGAAAGTAGCCAGCAATACGTCGATTTCCCAACAACCATTTCCTTGTTTTCACAATCGATTTTCAAAAATTGGCTATCTTCCGAAATGTCCTTTACTTTATAAGAATCATCCCTCAAATTTGTCTCAGGTAATGATGCTTCAGCTCCTTTATTTTCATCACTCTCATCATAAAAGATATTCGTCAAATTGTTGTTTCCCAATAATACTATCGGATCTTCAAAAAAAAAAACAATCAAAGATTGCTATGGTTTTTCAAACGTAAATAGGTACGTTGCATTATTGTTCCTTTAGGCCAGGATTTTTGACATGACATTTTGATAATAAAGTTCATTGAGAAAATTAAAGAAAAATATTGCTAAGACATTCGTTTGAAAAACCATAGCAATCTTTGAAGACCCGATATCTATATCTGCATTTAAAATATTGTCATCTTCTTCTTCGTTGTCAGCATTGCTAGTGTTAACTTTTGTAGGTTCCTGTTTTAAGTCAATTCCAATTTTTTCCCAAGGTTCATCATTTCCATCGAAAGTTGGCTAACTTAGCACGTTAATTTTTCCTATTCGTTGAACCATGTCTTTGATACTAAAATTGACAACTGTAGAAAAAGTACTTGTTATAGATCTTAAGCATCTTAACGTATTTTCACAGCACTGGCTTCCATAGAATTACGGATAGAACATTTCCGCATCTAGCTTATGATCCCGAAACATTGAAATTAGTTCTAAATCAGAGAATGTCCGCTTAGCTCTATGCAGTAGTATGCATTATCAGTTATCAATTTATCTCTAAGTTAATATTTAGAGCACTTTTCACCTCCAAAAAAGAGACAAGAGAACATTCATGTTTTTTCTATTCCAGGCTCTTAAATTTTCTTCATTTCGATAAATTCAAGAGCCAGGAATAGACATAAATTGATAAGGAAAACTTCAGAATTAAATAAATAAGAAATGTAGAAAAATTGAGAAAAAAATGGTAGAAAGGAGATTACTTATTGGAACTTCAGAACATTGGAAAGACAATAAAAGATTACTGTAATGATTTAAAAATGATTGTGAAGCAACTTAAGAACGCAATCAATATGTCAGCATTTCATGATCCAAAAGTGCTCACCTATAACAAAGAAATCCTCCAAAAAAGGTATTTCAATAAGAAATTATTTTGGGTCTTCAATAAATACTCAAAAGAAAGAAATGCAAAAATATTCGCTTGAACACTATAATAACACACAGGAGAAACTATCATAATTCTGGAAACTGCTACAGAATTGG